CCTGTACCAAAGATCCACTGAGGCAGTACCTTCGGTTACACTGAAGGGAGGGCTCGGTGGGGAGGTACAGGGTCTAAGAGCATGCTGAGCCCTCACTTCTCGACTTGTCGAGATGCGGGGGCACAATAGGGTCCGGCGCCCCTGTCAGGGAAGGTGTCCCCTGACTCAAAAGCGTCGGTAGGGGTTGGCGGCCCTGACTACAATCGCCCGGTCGGCCGGGACCGCTAGGGGGGAGTTTCTACTCCTCCCGCCAGCCTAGAGGAAGGAAACCTCGATAAAAAACCGTGGGGTGGGTCTTGAATCGCTCGACCATTGCACGCCGGTGCTCCGGCAAGTCGGGTGAGTCGGACTCGTCACGGGGAGAGCGGGCCTCTCTCGTCCATTGCACGCCGGTGCTCCGGCGGGGCGGGAGAGGTTTTGCTGGGGTCTTCTAGGGGATCCGGGTGGGAGGTCCTCACCTCTGAGGCGGGCAGGGATGCCGTCTCGCCGAGGAGGTGGGAAGACCCTCGTTTCGCAACCCATTGCACGCCAGTGCTCCGGCAGGGGAGACGGGGGTAACCCCCTTTCGGGAGTCCCTGTACGTGGTGCAGGGACGACCGGAGGGGAGGCCCGTGTTGGGGACGTGCACACCAGAGACGTGGTCCCGCGGTGTCCCCAACACGCTCCGACGTATTCGGAGGCCGGGGTCGGGCTGCCTGGGTGGGTGACCTGTCGGGCCGCTGGGACATATTCCCAGGTCGGGGCCGGCGTGTCTGGTCACCGGACGTAAGGGCCGGTGACGAGTACGGAGTCCGTTGGGTCGGCGGCGGCGTGGGCGCTCCGTGTCCCCTGCTCGTGCGTGGCGGGGACCGGGATCGAGCGTGCTCGGCCGGGGCCGGGATCGAGGTCTCTCGGCCGGCCACTCCTCGTTGCGTGCGGGTGGGGGTAGCGGGGTTCTTTTGTGGGCGTCGACCGGCGGACGGTGCCTCAGGGGTCGGGGACGGTCTCTGGGGGTCCTTCGGGGCCTTCGGGGGGCGCCCTCGATACGGGCGTGGCGAACCCGGGGATTTCCGAGGGCTCGGGCAGGCTGGGCTCGTGAGGCGGGCGATGCCAACCAGCCTAGGGGAAAGATACCCCGAAAACAAACCACTGTAAAACTATGGAAAAATGTCTTCTGTGGAATTACCGATTACTGGCCCAAGGGATTCGGACCCCCAGAGCCCGGCGGATGAGAGATGCTCTCAGGAGCACCGGCCTGGTCTCTCTCCGTCGTTAGCCAACGACGGGCTTATTAATAACCAAACTCCGGGGTTGACGACGGGTCCAGGAGGGGAAAGAGCTACCGTCGATAGCAAAGAGGAGGCGGGAGTTACGGGGGATCCCGTCATTCCTACGCCCATGAGGGGCAGTAAGAGTAAGCTCAGGGGCCCGGCGAGCGCTAGGCTTAAAAAGATCAGCCGTGAATTTTCTATGTGCAGTGACACCAGCACAGAGGAAGAGAATGTTGCAGCTAAAGCTTTAGCGAGCAGTGCTGTGCTAGAATTAAGAAGAAGGGAGGAGAATGAGAAAGCGAGGCCGAGTACGCGAGGGCCCCTCGAGGAGAGCGATGATGATGTGGAAATAGTGGATGCTTTTAAACTACCACAGTCCACACCATCACAAGAAGGGATGGATGTGGATAACCCCATGGAGGGGGAGTCTACAGACGCATCGATAGAAGGAAAAAATAGGAAAGGTCCCGGCAGGCCCAAGAAAAAACTCGACAGTGTGATACGGAAGAGAGAGGCGGAAGAGCGTAGGTCCAAAATGATCCAAAGTCCATCGGTGGAGCCCGATCTCTCCAAAAAAAAAGATTAAGATGGAGAAAGTCATGCTGGAGGAGTTTAGTTAGGCTCCGACGGACGACTTGCCGACACGAATAATGGAATCGGTGCGGATAGTCGACAAGATTTGTAAGACTGCCGGTAACCTCAGGGGAACAAATCAGGGTCTTCTGAGGGATGCGGCGGCGACAATCGCAGCCGCCACAACGCACCTAGTCGGAAGGATGAGGGACGTGCGGTCCGAGTTGGATCGCGATATAGAAGTAGACGAATTTTGTAATGAAGTTAAAACACTTAAGGAGGACAACGAGCGGCTCAAAAACCTGATGAATCAAGTGATCTTGAATCAGAAAAGTCTAGAGCAAGGCTCAATTGAAACGAGAGTGGTTGGCGGAACTGCGGACACCTCTTCCATGATCCAGCCCCCTGTATGTGGAGGAAAGGACAGGAAGAAAAGAACGATCGGCAAATTTCCCCTAGATACCTCTTCGGACGAGGAGAAAGCGGAAAGGGAGAAAAAGGAAAAAGAGGAGGCCGAGGCAAACCGCCTAAGGATCCTAAAGAACATACAGGCCTAGGGGGTGCCTGCCGTTCAAAAGCCAGCAGTAGGCAATAAAAGGAAACTGTTGGAAGGGGCAGTTCCGGCTGCCAGACCGACAGAGACAGATATGGAGATTGAGATGGGAGGAATGGACTCCATTCATCCTTTAATTCAACCCCCGAGTCAGACCCAGCCTCTGAATCAGCCAGAAACAAGGGCAAGTCCCCTTGAGGACAGGCTGACAAGAATAGAGGGGATGATCGCCGAACTGGCGAACTCGATCAGCAAGCCAGTAAATGAGGAAACACCGATCTCACTGGTGACCACTGTAGCGAGAAAGGAACAACCCACTGCGGCTAAAGAGACTCCCCCGACCAAAAAAGCCCAGGTTAAAAAGGACGGTAAAAAAGCTGTCAATAAGACCAGAGAAGGAAAAGTGGCTAAGGTAGCTAGTATAACTAATACGGCTAAGACGGCCAAGGCAGTGTCCTATGCGGAGGCTGTTGGAAAGTCGATCAAGGGTTCATCAACCGGAAATAATCAGACATCTAATGGTAAGACGGATAGCGGCAATAATACTTCGAAAACCGTGGCACCCTCAGCCCCACTCAAAGATGGCTGGGCCAAGGTGGGGAAGGGAGGTAAAACGGTGAAAAACGTCGCAGTAAAAAACGGGGGAAATGGTAATACCCCCAATCAAGAGAATAAATCAGTATCAAAACCGGTGGGCAAGGCGACAACCGAAAAACTCGCTGGTCAACCCAAGAAGAAAGAGGGTAGGGTCAGGTTACCGCGAAGCGCGGCCGTAGCGATTACGAGCGCTGGGGGTGAATACGAGGAGCTCCTCAAAGAAGCGAGGAGCAAAATAAGTCTCGCTGAAATTGGAATAACAGAGGGGCTGAAGCCTAAGAGAGCTGTAACCGGGGGTCTCATTATTGAGATTCCCGGAGCAGGTAACTCCGATAAGGCAGATAGACTAGCAGAGCGATTGATTCATCTGTTTGAGGGGAGACCGGATATAAAGGTGTCCAGACCGATAAAAACTATGGAGATCAGAGTTCTCGACCTGAACGATTCGGTCACTAAAGACAGCCTAACAAAGGCTATCGCGGAGTTGGGTGGTTGCTCACCAGCTCAAATCCAGGTAGGTCAAATGAATCGAGGTCCCAACGGCCTATACACGGCGTGGGCGAAATGCCCTCTGGGAATGACGCGGAACATCCGGGAAGCTAAGAACAAGTTGCGGATCGGATGGTTCGTGGCCAGGATAAGGGAACTCCCTGCAAGGCCCCTCCAATGTTTCAAATGCCTGGAGGGGGGCCACGTGAGGGCTCAATGTCCCAATGTTGAAGACCGTAGCGAAAGGTGCTATAGATGTGGAGGAGTTCAACATCGTGCTAGGGACTGCCGTGAAAAGCTTAATTGCCCAGTGTGCGCAGACCTGGGGAGACGTGCAGACCACAGAGCCGAAGGCAAAGCGTGCTCCTCGGCAAAAAGCAAGAAAAAGCCTAGGATCCTACCCACGCCAGCCACCCAACGACCTCCAGCCCGAAGGAGGGAAAGGGAAGTGGAACCAATGGATGTGGAAGAGGCAACAACGGCTGTTACTGGGAAGAAACCCTGTATAACGTCCATCGAGACAGTTAACTTGCAGATCGTCGGCAAGCAGGCAACTAAGAGGTCGGCTGACTTCACTGGAAGTAGCGAAAATGAGACCAAGAATGAAGTAGGAGGGTCTAAACCTAAGGCCCAAAGAAAGAGAGGGGGTAAAGTGAAAAGAGAGGAGGATATCACATCACAGATAGAAACTCCGGAACCCACTCTCAGGATTGAGACATGCGAACAATCCCAGAAAGAAAAGGACATGGATCCAAATGCGTCAGTTCGGGAGACCCCACCGACGACGCAGATCCAAACAACAGCGCAGGAGGAGGAGTCGGAGCTGACGAAGGCAACAACGACTGCGACTGATAATGAACCAGCCAGGGGTAAGGAGAATGCGGAGGACATATGGGGAGACGAAGCATTCTAATGCCCCCTCACCGCGTAATCTAAGCCAACTTGAACCGCAGTCCCGCTTCGCAGGATGTGTTATTGCACACAATGGCGGAGCGGGACTGTGGCTTGGGAATAATTGCCGAGCCGTGCCGGGTGCCGCACGACCACTCGCTATGGGCAGGTAGCAGGTGTGGTCTATCGGCAATTACATGGAAGAGAACGGCCGAGGTTGTCCCCTGCTCGAAGTTCGAAGCAGGGGATGGATACGTTGTCGTCAAGAGGGGCCGAGTGTATGTGGCGAGCATTTATGTCTCGTCAAACGTGGACCTGGCTCAATTCGAGGAGGTATTGGCGGACCTCAGGGCCTGCATCTCTGGGATTCCACTCGCTCAACGCCAGATAGTCGTGGCCGGGGATTTCAACGCGAAATCCGCGTTGTGGGGCTCCCCGGTCACTGACAGACGAGGCAGAATTTTGGAGACATGGGCGGCGGGTTTGGACCTGATTATAATTAATTCCGGACGGGTACAAACCTGCGTGAGACAACAGGGAGGATCTGTAATTGATCTCACGTGGGCTAATCCCATGGTCGCTCGCAGGATTGAGGGATGGAGGGTGGCCGAAGAAATAGAGTCACTTCTGACCATCTTTTTATAGAAATGTCTCTTTCGGCCATCTCGCCGGAAGTACAGGCCCGTCGTAGGGAGGCAGAAGAGCGCTTTCCCAGATGGGCTCTAAGGAAGATCGACGCGGACCTCCTCAGGGCGGCTATGAGCGTATCGCTCTGGGCGGAAGATCCGGCGGCCTCTTCGGAAGATGTGGACGAAGCTGCCGGCTGGATCGGGGGATTAATGAAGGCTGCATGCGACGCTGCCATGCCCCGCGTCATGCCGATGAGGAGAAAGGCGGCCTATTGGTGGACGGAGGAGATCGCCGAGCTGCGGCGCTCCTCTGTCCGGGCCAGACGTCGCTGGTTGAGGGCTAGACGTAGCCAGGACCAGCGACGGATGGGTGAGTCGGGAGTAGAGTACAGCTCCGCCAAGCAGCTCTACTCCTGGGCCATAAAACAGGCCAAGGATAAGTCCTAGCGGGAACTCTTGATGGCCCTGGATGAGGATCCATGGGGGCGTCCCTACCGCATGGTTTTAAACAAGTTGCGGACTTGGACGCCCCCGGTAACGGAGTCCATGGACCCTGGATTTCTAGAACAAGTGGTGAGTACCCTTTTCCCGGATGACCCCGGGGAAAGGGCTCACGGAGGTCCTCCCCCACCAGTAGTGGAAGGGTGGGACGAAGATGAATCCGGTGTGTCCATGGACGAGATGCGAAGAGCCGCTCGCAAACTTAAGGCGGGCAAAGCTCCAGGGCCAGACGGAGTGCCGGGCAAAGCCTGGATCCTGGCCTCAGAGGAACTGGCTGAACATCTGCGTAAGTTGTATAGCGGGTGCCTCAAGCAAGGCCGGTTCCCCAAGGCGTGGAAGAGATCGAAGCTAGTCTTCCTTCCCAAACCGGGGAAACCCGGCGACCAGCCATCGGCGTACAGACCGATCTGTTTGTTGGACGAAATTGGCAAGCTTTTTGAGCGTATTTTAGCCAATCAAATCGTCCAACACCTGTCCCGCACGGGGCCTGATTTATCACAGGCGCAATTCGGCTTTCGGGAAGGAAGATCGACTATCGACGCGATCAAACGTATCGAGTCCCTCCTGAGGGCCGTCTTGGAGGAAGGCAGGGTGTTGCTTAGCGTCAGTTTTGACGTAGCAAACGCGTTCAACACCCTGCCGTGGCGGGTAATAAGGGAAGCACTTCAACACCATGAAGTGCCCCCTTATTTGGTGGCCACATTATATGACTACCTGCGGGACAGGGAACTGGTTTGTACAGACCAGGATGGTGAGGTCCGAACAAGGCTGGTCGTGCGGGGGGTTCCGCAGGGGTCGGTCCTGGGACCACTCCTGTGAAACATAGGATACGATCATGTTCTCCGGGTCGCCCTCCTCCCGGGATGTTGGTTAAACGGCTTTGCCGATGACACATTCTTGGGAGTTGAGGGCGACAATTGGGGGGAGGTACTGGCTCGAGGGAACGTCGCAGTGGCGGCAGTCGTGGCCGCGATGAGGAGACTGGGTTTAAGGGTGGCTCCCCAGAAGACCCAGGCCGTCTTGTTTCATGACAGGCTCATGGGAAGACCACCGAGAGCCCACATCAGGGTTGAGGGAAACCGAGTCGCTGTAGGGCCCAGCATGAAATTGCTGGGCCTATGGTTAGACGAGACCTGGAGTTTTGGCGAGCACTTCGCTCGCCTGACTCCCAGGGTTAAGACCATCGGCAACTGCCTAGCAAGATTGATGCCGAACCTGGGAGGGGCGAGCAACAGGGCTCGCCAGCTCTACGCGGAGACAATTAATGCTGTAGCACTATACGGGGCACCAATTTGGGTCCCGGCGGCGGAGCGATCCGTCCGCATCAGGACGCAGATGCGCCAGATGCAGAGGACGGTCGCTCTGAGAGTGGCCAGGTGCTACAGCACTGTCTCACACGCGGCGGCGACCACGCTTGCGGGACTTCCCCCGCTGGAGCTTGCCGCCAGGCAACGAGCTAATGTGTATGAGCGTGTGGCGAGGCTTGGGGCAAGGGGGAACCCGGTTCCGCCGCGTACGCGTAGAGCGATTGGACTCTAGGAGAAGACCGTCCTTGTCCGTAGATGGCAAGAGTGGCTCGGCAATGCCGAGTGGGGACGGAGGACGGTCGATGCCTTCCGACCCCACCTGGCGGAATGGCTAGATGGACGACGGCGACTCGGAGTAACGTTTCATTCGGTGCAGGTGCTCACCGGACACGGGTGTTTCGGTGTGTACCTGCATCGAATTGGTAAAGAGGCCACGACAGAGTGCCACCATTGCGACGAGAGGAGGGACACGGCGCAGCATACGCTGAAAGTATGCCCAGCGTGGGCTGAACAGCGCCGTGTCCTACAGGGGGAGGTCGGCCCAGATCTCTCCTTCCCGGCCATAGTGGCGGCTGTGGTCGGGAATCAGGAGAAGTGGAGGGCCTTCACCGGTTTTTGCGGATCGGTGATGGCCCGTAAAAAGGAAGATGAGCGAGTCCGTAGAGGGGAGGTACATCCTCCTCCCTCACCAAGGGGTTCATTATAATAGATAGAACGCGGGGAGAAAATTACCATTAAACCCTGCAGCATTCTCTCTTCACTATAGAGAGAAGCCATTAGCCGTGAAACGGCAAGAGAAGATTAGAGAGGTTCAACGATCCAGCGGGGATTTATGGATCCTGAACATCCTTCATACAAGAAAAGGAGGAGTGGCGAGGTGAGGTGGTGTCACACCTCGCCACATCACAGATAATAGATCGGCCGGCAGGCTGCGAGCCACCAAAGCTCGAGAGGTGAGAGCTTAACCAAAGGCTCAGCGTAGGAGGCGCCCCGGATGCAATGATAACCAGTTCCCGGGGCGTCCCCATAAATACGCATGGTTTGGACACTCATGGGGTTTTAGTGGGTAGGTCACGCACATAAGTGCGTGGAATCCCACACTCCCCCCGTCTCTCTCCCCGGAGGGCGAGGGGGTTTTCCCCCTCACAACACCTGAGGGGGCTGTCGGGCCACATACCAGACCGACGCCTGGAAACCCGGCAGGAGAAGATTTCCCCATGTAAAAAAAAAAAAAAGTTTCCTCCAGGGGGTGGGGGGAGTACTTCTGGAGCCTCTAGAGGCCCGGGAGTGCCCGAGCGCACCAGTACCGTAATCCACGGCATTCCGCAAGGTCTGTCGTGGACCGGGGAGTCCTTCTCAGGACTCGCGAGGCAGACTAACTCTATAAACAACTGTCCGGCCGGATGGGGCCGTGAGGGAAGAGCCTTTGCTCCTCTGACCGTCCTATGGGAAGGAAAACCCAGACAGAAAACCGGGGGACCGGTCGCCCTGCTTAGGAGTCCGTCCAGTCGGGTCATCCCCGGTCCGGTACATCCCCGGCTGCGCGGACTCCAACGGCCGGTAGGGGTTGGCGGCCCTGACTGCAATCGCCCGGTCGGCCGGGACCGAAAGGGAGGAGTTTCTACTCCTCCCATCGGCCTAGAAAAAGGAAAACCTCAATAAAAAACCGTGGGGTGGGTCTTTAATCGCTCGACCATTGCACGCCGGTGCTCCGGCAGGTCGGGTGATTCGGACTCGTCACGGGGGGAGCGGGCCTCTCTCGTCCATTGCACGCCGGTGCTCCGGCGGGGCGGGAGAGGTTTCGCTGGGGTCTTCTAGGGGATCCGGGTGGGAGGTCCTCACCTCCGAGGCGGGCAGGGATGCCGTCTCGCCGAGGAGGTGAGAAAACCCTCGTCTCACTACCCATTGCACGCCGGTGCTCCGGCAGGGGAGACGGGGGTAACCCCCTTTCGGGAGTCCCTGTACGTGGTGCAGGGACGACCGGAGGGGAGGCCCGTGTTGGGGACGTGCACACCAGGGACATGGTCCCGCGGTGTCCCCAACACGGAGGGCAGTCCCGAGCCGCTCCGACGTATTCGGAGGTCGGGGTCGGGCTGCCTGGGTGGGTGACCTGTCGGGCCGCTGGGACATATTCCCAGGTCGGGGCCGGCGGGTCTGGTCACCGGACGTAAGGGCCGGTGACGAGTACGGAGTCCATTGGGTCGGCGGTGGCGTGGGCGCTCCGTGTCTCCTGCTTGTGCGTGGCGGGGACCGGGATCGAGCGTGCTCGGCCGGGGCCGGGATCGAGGTCTCTCGGCCGGCCACCCTTCGTTGCGTGCGGGTGGGGGTGGCGGGATTCTTTCGTCGGCGTCGACCGGTGGACGGTGCCTCAGGGGTCGGGGGCGGTCTCTGGGGGTCCTTCGGGGCCTTCGGGGGGCGCTCTCGATACGGGTACGGCGAACCCGGGGATACCCGAGGGCTCGGGCGGGCTGGGCTCGTAAGGCGGGCGATGCCAACCAGCCTAGGGGAAGGACACCCCGAAAATAAACCAAATTTAAACTATGGGAAATGTCTTATAGGAATTTAACGTTTACTGGCCCAGGGGATTCGGACCCCCAGGGCCCGGCGGATGAGAGATGCTCTCAGGAGCACCGTCCTGATCTCTCTCCGTCGTTAGCCAACGACGGGATACACTCAAAATCGCAGCTACCATCTGGGTCGAGGGCGAGCCCAGGTGAAGGTGCTAACATCGCCCAGGGGAGCCAGTGCTCCTCTAAAGGGAGTGACATGAAGCGCACAGTTAAACCCGGCTGTAAGGCCGGTCCAATGTGCGCCAAAGCGGGCAAAGGTAACAGCTCGCAGGCGACGATCGATGGATTCCCCTTAGATGGGGAAGAGAGGACAAGAAGGTCTCGTTCCAAGATACGACGAGATAAAAGTGATGAGGCGACAAGCCCTACAGGGCAACAAAGCAGCTCACTCCCGGATGAGCGTAAGACGAGAGGTAGGCCTGTGACTACCGGAGAATATGAAATAAAGAAAGCGGAGCTGGCAAGAAGGGAAAGAAAAGATAAAGAGAAAAGACTTAGGGAATTGGATGACCCTAAAATAGCCGCCAAACTCTCGAAAAATCGGAAAAGTACGAGAAGAAATACACCGAGGAACTCCGTAATGCCTCGGTTCAAGACTTTGCCAGGAGAATTATAGAGCAAGTGTCTACCGTAGACAAGGTGAACACCACATGCGGCTCGCTTAAAGGGGGAGACAAAAAAAGTCTTAACGTGGCGGCTTCAGTGATCTCAGCTGCAGCTGCCCACCTGGTCGATCGAGTGAGTGCTGACGAACCAATCGTTAAAGACTTTGAAGTTAAAGAGCTGAGGCGTGAAAATGCCAAGCTCCTGGAGAAGATTGCCCAGCTAGAGAAAAAAGCTGAGGAAAATAATAGCTGGAATATGGAAGTGGACGTGGAAGATAGGCCTTTGAGCCGAGTCCAAGAAGAACCTCCAAAGGAAAAACGACCCAGAAGGGGTAAGAATATAATAAGAGATGACTCATCTTCTGATAAAGATGATAATAGTAAGAAAGAAAAAGAGAGGATCGAGAAAGAAAGAATAGAAGCTGACAAGAGAAGAGATCAGCTATGGAGAGAGAGAGGGAGAG